CTTTGGCTGTGACATGACCCCAGTGTCCTGGCCAGAATTGCTTGGAACAAAGATGAACCCTGACCAGGTGAGATGGAGCTTATGCAAAAGGAATGGTTGAAATCAGTGGGATGATATGACCTCTGATAGCAAAACTTTCCTAGTTAATGCCATGTATAATTTCATACATCACTTAGGCCATGTAGGAAAAACTGCAGAGTCAGAGACCTCTGATGTGTAATAACTTTATGTGACTAGTAACTATAACCCAGATGCTGGCAGGTATGTGAGTCAGAAGATCTGAGTTTGAATTCTGACTTTGTTTCCAATTAATCTGGGTAATACTGAGTAGTATTTACCCTTTCTGGATGTCAGTTCTTCAACTGTAAAATGAAAAGATTAGACTCCAGATGATATTAAGGACTAGATAAGGTAATTATAACATTGTAAGACTGGATTTCCAGAGCAGTGAAATGACTGCCATAGCCTTTGGAGTTCTTCTTATACTTGTTCCATGGATAGGATTTACTAGCTTTATGTGTTTTTAGGAACACTCACTTTCAGCTTTTGGCATTTATAGTTTTCTGTTTCCCAATTTGTGTTAAAGGGGATGGACAGATGGTTGATTAGGCTTTCACAGGCTTATAATGCTGTTGTTCAGTTCAACAATGGTTTTAAACTTCAAGGGTCTACATAGAGCCTGGATTTTGTTTAGAATGTAAGATAGTTTTTACTCTTCAATTTAAGGATAATAATGTTTACTCACATAATTTAAAGCAACTTGTGGATGTAGCTCCAAAGGCCTAATCAGTTTCCCTCATTTTGTTATGTTTAATTCATTTCCACATCACAGCCCAACTCTTCCAAGTTGCAGTTTTTAAAATGAAGTTACCGGAGTTCGTTAATTTGCATGTTTTTCTGCCTTCTAACTCATTTAACCCACAAGCGCTTTCCAAATACAAAACCCTTTGATTCGGAATCACAGAAATTGAAATGTGGAAGAAACACATTCCTCCTTTTACAGGTAAGAAAACAGGAGATCTAAAAGATCCTGGTGCTCTTCTACTGAATATGAATTTTAAAAATAAAAGAGATAAAGTGAGGTTACATTGCAGAGAAAACAACAGGCAAAATGTGTGAACTTTAATCCCCAACAGGACTTGTGTCATTTAATATATTAATGCACAGAAAAAGATTGTATGGGACCCATGCAAGTCTAAGATGGTCATCACTGCTATTGCTCAGGTTTGTGATATTTTTTTAATACTTTATTTGGCTGCACTGGGTCTTACTTGTGGTAATTGGGATCTTCCATCATCATTGTGGCATTCAGGATCCTTCTTTACTTTCTGCTTGCCAGATCTAGTTCCCTGATCAGGAATTGAACCCAAGCTCCCTGCACTGGAAGGACCAAGTCTTAGCAACTGGACAACCAGGGAAGACCCAGTTTTGTGATTTTTAACTACTTCAGAGACTCTTCAGGTGAGTAGGGTCGCGCATATGCATTTGTTTAACCCCGACACTGCATCTGAAGTGTTTGGAGCAGTGAGAACAGAAAAGACGCTCAAAATGTAGGTAAAGAAAGAAGCGAGCCTTTCCACAGGGTTCCGAGGTGACCAGAAGGAGGGAAATTAGAACGCGCTGGCAGAGCAGGCGCTCAGGAGGTGGGATCTGCACGGCAGGTAGCGGTGGCAGGGAAGAAGTCCAGTCCGCGCGGGGACCCTGAGACTCCAGCAGGCAGGGGAGAGGGACGGGGACCAGGAGAGAAGGGATTGGCAAGAAACTGCAAACTGAGGCTGACCCAGTGAGCAGCGAAGATCTTCTAGAGAGAAAAGAAGGCATCAGAGTTTACAACCAGACTAGGGGTTGAGGAGAGTACTAAAAACCTTCAGGGGAAGACAGGGGTCTGGGCCAGAGATGGGAAAGGTGGGGAGGTGGGCGGCAAAGCGAGGTCGTCGGGCAGTGAACAGGTAAAAAGAGGTGCGGGGGTCCAGGGCCCACACGTGGTAATCTCCAGAGGGCGGGAGCGGCCGCTGAGTCAGGGACCCGCAGCGTCCCGGCAGCGCTTCTTCGCTCTGCCGCGGGAGTGGGTGGGGGTGCGTCGCCTTCTGGCTGGGAGGAGGGGGCCAGGTTCCCGGGCTCGGCCTCAGGGCCCTCCTCGCTGATCTTGAGACGGCCGGGCCGGTGGTCCTTCGCGCCGCGCGCCCGCAGGCCTGCCTGAAGGACCCTTTGCGTCTGGCCCAATTACCGCCCTCACTTTCCTGACCTCAGGAGCCCCTTACTTAGTCTGCGGAGACTTAACGACCTCACTCACTCTGAGCACCCCCGCCACTTCTCTCCTGTGAGGATCCAGCATACACTTAGTTCTAATCGGGATCCAGGCAGTTTGTACTGGTGGAAATGTCCCCGGAATTAATCCTGTAAATCCAGACACGTACCCAACGGCGAAGTTGCAGTACTATAGTAATTTAACCTTTAGTCTCGGGCGAGGTTTTTTTTTTTTTTTCCCTTCTCCTCTCTGGCGAAGGCAACTTTATAGAGTCTTCTGAGAACTGTACTGCATTAGATTATCTTCGAGATAATTCTTAAGTTAGCGCCTGGAGGCAGTGTGATGGGAGGTTCAAAGAGAAGGCTATGCACTTTTTCCTCCACTGTATCACAGTTTGAAGTGGAAAACGTGCGTTGACGGTGATTTTCCACATGAGGTGGGTTGCAGAGTGCAGCCCCCGTGAGCCGTGGCTCGCCTTGGTTCCTGGGTGCTACCCCTGAAGTTGATTTTAAAGCTCAACAGAATGGTCAGGTAAAGGAGCTGCTCAAAGAAATCCAGTATAATTCTATAGAGCCATTTTATTGGGTTCTATTAACCTGTTTAACCTTAAACTAAAGCATGGCTGGAGTTTCATGTAGGAACCCACATACAAAGTGTAATACCGAATTTTAATTAGTGCGTTCCAGGTTTGATGTGGAATAGTCTCCTCAGCTCGCACTGCCTTTCATTATGCATTTTCCTTAGGATCTTGTTTTAAAGAAACAGTTTTAGTATAGAGGGTGGGAGGAGTACCCTTTGAATCAGGAAACTTTCTTTGACGAACTTGAAAACTGGATAGGTAAACTCTGAACCTTGATACTGAGATAAAGTAGGAAACTGAAGTTTATAGCATTACCACTTCGAGAAGTTAAGGCTTCTTTACTCTTGTTTTGAAACCATGTTGACGTCTTAATTTCACTGACTGCAGAAGTACTGAATTTTCTGTGTGAGGAACTTCAGCAGCTGATGATTAGTTATTGATTATTAACTTAATCCAGCGTCATTATTTTGCAGAAAGTAACCCAAGTTTCCTGAAGAGATTTGGTAACATGAACTGAAGAGAACTAGTTGACTTAACTGAACACTTAAGTAGATAGATACTTTATCCCTCCACAGTGGATACTTTTGTACCAAAATTTGTTTTGATTTTGATGTCTTAAAAGCCAAATAATTACTGACTTTTAATTTTTTCCTCATATTTTGAGTATATGCCTTAGTATATGCCTTGTGATTTGGACTCATTAGATACAAATTATATTTAAGGAGTGTTTACATTTTACCAATTGAAACAATAATTTCCAGTTTCTTTGAATTTTGTAACTATTTTCATTTTAAGAATGTTTATTCATATTCTTGATTCAGGTAGTCTGTGCCAATTCCAGGAGCTTGGCATTTCAAGAATCCTAGAGTTATGATGTATGTAACCTTGATATAATAAAGAAGAAAGGTTTGTACGCATGTAGTCATTGAATTTCAGCATCCTCAGCATCCCTTTTCTGAGTGGTCCTCAACGCAGAAGTCTGGAGTTCTTGCTGGCCTGGGGTGAATTCTTTGCATCTCCCACTGCAGTGTTTACTGCAGGCATTTGTAGAGACTTTCTGGCTTGTGTGCACTTTCCCTGGTGGGGGCTTCCTGTAAGATGGACTGTGCTTTATTCATCTGTGTATGCTTCATGTCAAGTGTAGTAGGTCCTTTGTAAATGCTTGTGGTTTTGTTGGACTTAATCAAACTTAAGAAGGTAGCAGAGTGTCTGGAAGTCATGAATGATGATATTATAAACTTGAAATATCTCATTTCCGTTTTTGTGTTGAATCAGATACTCTGTTAGGCTCAATTCCAATACTGAAAGAGGTAGCATGTATCTAATAATATTTTAGAAAATTTGAGGAAAAAGCTTAACATTGAGAATTTTATTCTTTAATATACGTTATCCACTGTGAAATCGGGGAAACACACTGTTACTTAAACTTTTTGATAGGACACCACGTAGAGCTAAAATAATGCAGTTTTTCTACTGGAGCAAAGTTTGAAAATTTTGAATTGAATGATCCTAATTGTTACCATAGGCCACATTTTAAGGCCACCTTCGTTTCACTTTATAAAGATATATTTTTCAGTATATAAACTCCTGGAAGCAACATGACTTTCAGAGTTCAGACTACCTTTACAGGCTGTCCTTAAATGATACTTTAAACAGTTTTTGGCTGATGTAATGTGCTTCATGATGGATATACTGAAAAAACAGAGCAAAAACCCCAAACGAAAACAAAAAAACCAAGACCCCACTATATTTTCTTTTTCTCTTAGACTTATATTTTCTTTCTTTAATAGATTATTATAATGTTTTGTTTATTTTAAAAAAATGAGGAAAATTTTCAAGCAATTCTTTTGGAAAGTACCACCACTCCACCATTTGAATAGCCTTGGCAAATAATGTTTGGGCAAATGCAAGGCTGTTTCCGTAGTGTTATTTCTGTTTGAATATGTTGATTTATATAAATAGTAGTCTTCACAGGGACATTGTCTTTGGACTACATGCACTTTTTTCCCCTCTCCTGGCACTATTACTAAAAACAGCTGTATAGTAAAGTATGTATGTGTTGTGTATGTGTTAGTCGCTCAGTCGTGTCTGACTCTGCGACTCCATGAACTCCTCTGTCCATGGAATTCTCCAGGCAAGAATACTAGAGTGGCTTGCCATTTCCTCTTCCAGTAGTAGAGTATGATGGTGCTTAATTATAGGGAGCAAATAATTTCTCTTATATCATTGCTGGTTCCTATGTCAGTCCCAGGCTCCCTGGCCTGTCCACTCCCCGTTCTGTCTTTTCTACCCGGTTTTTGAACTGATTTTTAAGACTGAAAATACCTTAAGATCCTCAGCCCCTTCAGGAAGTGAAACCTGGAATTATTCCAGTGCCCCGAGCATCCATTGCTTACTGAGATATGATGTCTTCTTATATCCTTTGCACATACTCAGTTTGACTATGAGATTCTCATTTTGAAAAACGCTTTTACTCATCAGGAGTTTTGAAACATATGCCATAAACATCTTGGGGAAGTATATGTAAAGCATGTAGAATATAAATATAGATTTAGATGGAGTTAGGTTATAGAATCAGACAATTGGTAAGAATTAGTAAGAATGTCTAGTCCTTTTCTCCCACTCTTGAAGGTCACACGTAAGTCTTTTAAATTTAAGAATATAATTTTGAGTATTTATTTTTAAAAGTAAAGCAATTCCACAGTCTTTCCTTGCTATTAACTAGTCCATAGAGTTGATGTGTTTCTTGTATTATTCGTTTGTGTGTTTGGGATCCTCTACGGACCTGAACCCTGTCTTGAGCCTGCTCAAGAGCTCTCCTCGCCTGACCGTCTCTGTCTCCTTGCTGTCCTCCTCCCTTGGAGCTGGGGCCTGGTCTTCTCCACGGCGGATGGTTGGGGTCCTGCGTCAGCAGGGGCAGAACCAGCAGTCAGGATGCTTTGATGCTTCTTCTCAGGCTCACACTCACCGGACTGACTTGTCAGATACTGAGAACAGGACCGCTGAGAGCTGGGCTCTTTGGCTGTTACAGTTTCAGCTTTTTTGAGGGTCAGCTTTTCATTTGCATCTGGTACTAGAACACCCTGGTCACATACTCATTACTTCCTGACTGTTCTGCTCCTGGTTCTCTGCCTTCTTAGCTGAGTTACTTAGTGGTTTATTTTTATCGAATTTTAGTAGTAGCTAATTGTTTTCCGAGTATTTGATTTTCTATCCAGATCTTCTCGCAGTTTTGAGCTTTCATTTGACCAAGTATCTGTTATTCCACCCAGTTTCCTGTAGCGTGTTTTTTCATTATCTGTCTTTCCTTCTAGACTCTCTATTCCTCGAGTGTTGGGACTGAGTTTGTGGTGTTCCTGACAGTGTCCTCAGCACTTACTGCGGTACCTGACACATAGCAGGTGATAGACAGTACACAAATATCAGTTGGATGTAGTCAACAGTAAGTCTGTTATCAGTGTTGGAAACCAGTGTTCATATAGAAATAGAGAGTTCATATAAGATGTTTAGGCCTTTCATTGCCATCATTAGTGCCAGAGAGTCTGTGTGTTTTAAATAAGCATATCCATACACGAAAATCAGTCATGGTTATCTGGCAGGGCATCTGTTTAAGAAGAAGTAGTATATAGTTTTCACTGTGTATTGTTAGGTGTTGCACATTTAGAGTTCTCTTGAGTTTGATTAAATGTATATTTTTTCTATTTCTTGCAAATAGAAGTTTTATGGCACTATAAAGAAGTGAATTTAATGGCCCTATTTTTGTTCATTAGTAATTATATACTGTAGAGTAAATTCTCGTTAAAAGGCCCTTAAATGCCTGCTTATAAAAAAGAGAGACCTCTTTGATTTTGTTCATACTATCCCAGTTATTGTATTGAGGCAAGTCATCAAACTCTTTAGTAGTCTAAAACCTTTAATTTGGTTTCAGAACAGTAGTCATGTATTGAGTATCCAAATTACCATGTCTTTAACAAGTAATGCAGACACTTATTAAAAAGGTAATGACCATAACTTTTCTTGTAGAATTTCTTGTGCTAATTTTTTAAAGAGGAGTTTTGAACTAAATTTCCCGTGAAGGCCAAAATCATACTTTTAATGATGGTGAAGTACATGTGTCGTGTAGAGAGGAGGGTTGGTAATTTTTGTAGTGGTATTTTTAAGTGGACAGTTTACTAATTATATTGAGGTAAACACTTTATAACTCTTAAGAGGAAAACTTCAATTATCTGAATGAAATGAGGTATGTGAAATTAATTCAGATAAGTGAGGGAATCCTTAGTGTAAATGATGCATGTCAAGGGACATGACCTCAATCTTGAATTTTTTTTTCTATATATCTGTCAGCTGGTTTTACATTACTAGATTCTGATTCTTTTTGGTCATGGTGGGAATCATTGATGGAGGAGGTAAGGTTTGCTCTGTAATTTTTTTTTTTTTATCTTTGCCACAGAGGGAATCCAGAATATGGTATTCTGTGACAAGTGTAATTGCTCATCTCTTGCCTGTAATGCCTGCCCTTTTAGGTGGTACACCACAGCCTTCCATTTTGTCACCTTCCTGTCAAACGTCAAGTGTGTGGGGGGACTCCTTGAGAATACAATTGGTTTGAAATTAAAGCCACATTCCTCTGTCCAGGCTTAAGATGTTTGTATTTCTGCAAGTTCTTACAACAAGTTGTGAAGGTGAATTGAGCTGGATAAACCTTGATTCTTTTCCTTTCCACCTTGGAGTTTAATGTTAAGCAACAGTTTGTACTTTCAGCCCTTGAAATAGAAACAAACAGTGGAGCATAACCCTTGACTTTTGCAAATTCTAACTTGAAATTAAAATTTTTCTGATTGATTAGAGTGCTAGTGTCTTAGGGTAATGATTTCTGCTGCCATTTACTGAGGTTTGCAGCATTCCTGGGTTACTGGCATCTGAAAGTTATTGTGCAATCTGTAGATAGCCTGTGGCTATCCTCTGGGCCTTTTTTTTTGTTATTTTGTTTTTAAACAGAGGTAGGCTTATTTTAGCCACAGAGGTGTGTGCCATCTGACACCTCTGTAACTGAATTTTGTTTCTTTCTTCAACATTACCTATAGATGTTTTATTAAAGCACCTTAGAACATGGCTTTTTATTTTCAGCATGCACCAGCTTGCTTTTCATCTCTTGATCTTTGAGATGCAAGATGATTCATATGTTGATTGCCTTGGTTAGAGTTGTTATGATATCAGCAAGTTCTGTATACAGACCTTGTGAACAATTCCTAGGTCATTGCCTTCTTTAATATATGCAGGCCATGTAATTGAAGAGTTTAGGCTTCAGGGTGAGTCCAGACTGATTTTGACTGTACCATTTGTGAACAACATGTCTTTGGGGGAAGTTAGTTACTTCTCTGGGTTTCAGTTTTTTCATCTGTAATACTGGAATAATATCAGTTGAGTGTATTGAGTATTTTTTTTTTTTTAAGAGAAAGCTTATCTGTATTGATTCATTGTCCTGTTCACAGCTAAGTGTTTAATAATGTGAATTAGTGAACTATTTATCTGGATCATATACTGTTTTAAAGGGAAATAGACTTTGTTCTAGTTCATGACAGATAGTCAATTAGCAAGAATTATTACAAATAGAGGCCTTGCTCGGTTGTCTTGTTTAAAACTATGTAAGACTTTTGTAACCATCAGTCTATTTATATGCAAAGGATATGTTGATATTTGGTATAGGAAAGCAGAATGTGTACTGTACTCGTAGGAGTGAGACAGACTTGGATTTATTTATATAGATGATCTAACAGTTGGGTCACCTTGGGCAGGGTACTTTACTTTTTTGATTACAAGTTTCATCTGTAAAATGGTATTAAAGCATAAAGAGTTAAGAAGGGGAAAAGGGATAATAAAAAGGTTGTTAAGACTAATATGAGGTAGGCAAAATACTTAAAGTAAAAGTGAAAGCCGCTTAGTCGTGTCCAACTCTGTGACCCCATGGACTTTACAGTCCATGGAATTTCTCCAGGCCAGAATACTGGAGTGGGTAGTCTTTTCCTTCTCCAGGGGATCTTCCCAGCATTGCAGGTGGATTCTTTACCAGCTGAGCCACAAGTAAAGCCAGAATCCATAAATACTGGTAATTATTGACACTTTGGAAGTGAGGCTTTAGTTCTCTGCACTTCAGGCTTCCTCATCTGTGACATGAATGTCAGAGAATTGATAGAGTTATGAGGGTTAAATGACATAATACCTGTCAGAGGTCATTATATGTTAATCGCTACTGTTATTTATATTATTATTAATTCACTTTCAGAACAAAATGGACCAATTTCGAGTTAAAAGGAAATAATTCATACAGGTATTTAGTGTATTTTTTATGTTGGAGGGCATTTACTATGGATTTGAAGATGGCAAGTGATCATTCATTAGCTTTCAGTGTTTTTTTTAAGACAGCAGTAGTCTACAAGTTGTGGTATATAAGCCTGTTGGTCAGTCACTGTGACCCTTTCAGGGAGATCCATTAGGTTAAAACTATCTTTATGGTAATACTAACTTTTTCCTTTTCCACTGTTTTTACATTTGCTCTGCTAATACTAAAGGTAAAACTGAATATCTTAGTAGATATTAAATGTCAGCAACACCAGACTCTACTAGTAATCATCATATTCTTCCCTGCTATGCATTCATTGTTTTTTTTTAAAAAAACCCCAAAACAAAAACTCAAAAAAGCCTGTTTTACTTGAGTGTCTTTAATGAAGCAGTAAAAATTATTAGTTTTATTAAATCTTGATCCTTGAGTGCATTGTTTTAATATTCTGTGTATGATGTTTGAATAGTCTATATATGTTTGATATTTCATAGGTGATGTTTTTATATTCTCTCTCTCTCTATATATATGATGAGATAGGAAATACACAAAAGGCACTTCTGCTGTATATCCAGAGTATTTTATCTCAAGGAAAACACTTAAGTATTCTTTTGAGTTGCAAGCTGAATTAGCCATATTTTACATGAAGTATCATTTTTGCTTAAAAGATTGAATACCAGACAAACCATGATTATTCAGACTTAGATATCTGGCAGTCATTTTCTTAAAAATGAACAAAGCGATTTTTTGTTCACTTGAGGGGAAAACAATCGACAATATTTGTTGCTGATGATAAAATTTTAACTTTCTGGGGAAAATTAAAATTTTGGAAATATTACATCAGCTGCTGTGTTCTGTTAGCTTCTCAGTACCTAAAGAGTTTTCCAATGGGATGGGTGGTGATGTTATGAATGTGCATTTTTGCTGTGGTGTTAATTATGTCAGGATCTTCAATGTTTATATAACTCAATGGACATGAACTTGGGCAAAATTCAGGAGAATGTGAGGGACATTCTCACACCAGGGAGACCTGGTGTGCTATAGTCCATGGGCTCACAAAGAATTGGACATGACTGGGTGACTGAACAGCAATAACTCAGTGAAACAATATTTTCAAAGTGATCAATATTCCAAAATTATGGTAAAAGACCCTTATAAAAAACATGTAACAGAATACAGAAAGCTTATGTGCTACTCAATTTCATATTACAGCTAGCCCACAGACGACTCCTCTACTTGTCAAGTTTTGGTGTAGTATCAAAGAACATTCATAATTATCTGAAAATGATATTAATAGTACTGTATGCTTCCTTTTTTCTCACTGCATACTTGTGTGGGGCTGTTTTCATGTAGTTCAGTCAAAACAGGTATCACAACAGATTGTATGTAGAAGCAGATAAGAGAATTCACCTGTCCTCTATTAGGTTAAACATGAAAGAAATTTGCAAAAGTTGTAAGCTGTGTCATTTTTAACACTAAAGTTTTTTTGTATAGTAAGTTTTCAAAAATATATTCTCATATTAACATGTCATTAAAATTTTAAAATGAATCACTCTGAGGAAAGCAGAGCATATTTTCTCACAAAACTGGAGCTTAATCATTGTCTTGCACATTCTAGAAATGGAAAATAATTCTGTTTCATTCAACAGATATTTGTAGAGTGTATATGAATAAGCAGTTTCCACTCTGCAGGAACTCAGCCTTGATAGAGAGATGAGATACATGTCTGCATTTTCAGATACTAGCAGTTTACTGAAACAAGTGCTTTAATAAAACATTTAATGTTGGATTTTTTTTTCACCTAAAATAAAGACAGTAAACTCTAAATGCTATTTTATTACCTGATTTTCTTCCCATTAATCTGTAGAGCAACCCTCTTTTTTTTTTTCTTGTTAATATTTACAGATCTATGATTTCATTTTATAATAGTGAAATTGGAAACAGCCTGTGTCCATGGATGGGAGAATCAGCTTAATTGTGTGGTATCTCATATATCAATTTTTAGATTATAAGTCAAGCTTAAAAAATTTAAGATGAATCAGTAGTTAAAATTTTCTCCTTTAATTCTTAATATAGTAAATACTGATAATTATGACTCATTAACAAAAAAAACTCTTGGGAGTCCTCAATTTTCAAGAGTGCACAGAGTCTTGATACTAAGAAGTTTGAGAACTGTTTAAGGAAATTAGGCTAGATTCATCAAGTGAAAGTTCTAAAGTTGTAATATTTTGCATATTCCTTTGGAATATGGACTACTTACCTCGTTTCTTTTTCTAGTTGTAACGATATGTCACTTGTTGGAGTTCTGTGTCGTTTTCCAAGCAGGCAGAAGTTTCTTGTGTGTGTTTTTAAAAAAGATTTTCATTTTTATTTAAGATTGATGTCACCTAGATTGTTGCTACTCAGAATTGAGATAATGGTTAATGGTGATTCCATCAGTGTATTCATTCTTGATACCACTCTTTTGGTTGTGAGCTGTTCATGTCATTTTAAGAGCTGTTCTCCATGGCTGCTTCTTCAGGATTGCAGTGAAATCCCCTCTGCTGAAAATAAACTGCCGTTTTCTCTGAAGTCTTCATTCTAGGCTAACTTGTCTGCTGTGAAGTCTTCCTGATATTTCATAGCTAGTTTTCAGATGGTCAGTCCACAGCTTATGAATGTGTTTGTGAATTAGTTATTTGCAACAATATAATATGCATTAGAGATGGGTTCGATAGTGCCATTAATACTATGGGCATAGCCTTGTTTTGGATTATTAACATCTTTCTGTAGGGAATTATATTCTGACTCCTGGAAGTCTAGTCAAAATCATTACTTCATTGCAGTCCCAGTGGCAAGAGACCCCCTTTTTCTGCTTGCAATAGAAATAGGAGTGCTAAAGCTTTTTTAAAATAATATTAATCTTTATTGGCGTTCAGTTGCTTTACAATGTTGTGGGTAAAGCTTTAATATAAGCAAGAGAGGCATTCTGAATCAGTACTCGAGATGCAGGTATCCTTGGGACCCCAGCTGTGTAGAAAGGGTGGTAAGTAGCTCTCAGATGAAGCAGGTATAGAAACTTGGGGCCAACCAGCAATGGTGGAGGAAAAAAAGAGAAGGGATGTTCTGGATGCTGCTTGGGAGTGATACTAATAGATACCTTTTTGTGTCAGTTGCTAAAATAAGGGATGGGTAGTCTTAGGTTGGGAGATCCACTGTACAGAGTTTTGTTGTGTTATAGTCCTGTGTCTGGTTGTTGTAGGAACTGAGCTCGAGAGGTAGAATGACACACCAGTTGACAAGGTTGAAGTCATAGATGTATAGGCCAGAGGTTTGAATGTAGTAGGAAATTGAACTCCAGGGGCATTCATGATCAGAAGAATGGAACCCAGGAGGGTGATGAAGTATGCAAAATGTTCACAAGGGCCCCAAACAAATTCACGTTACATGTGGCTGCTAGGGCAGGGGTAGAACTGGTAATCGGCTGGCAAATCAAAGAATGCTGTGATTCAGACTACTGCCTTAGAGTCTCTGGTAGGAAATACAGACTTTTTAGAGTGGTGTCCATACAGGGAGCCTGTTATGGGGAATGGTGGATATATGCCAAAAATGGAGAACCAGGAAACATGGGGATACAGACAAGGCCAACTTTGGAGAACTAGAATTTGACCTGAAGTTGAGTTTGTCTTCTTCCTGCCCAAGGGCATTGTTGGCCCTTTGGATAGAGGCAAGACTGGGCCAAAGTGGGAAGCAGAGTGACCATAGTTAACTCTCTGCACTGGAGTGATAGACCTACTGAAGAAATATTTATTAAACCAATGGATGGAAGTAAGGCAAAGACACTAGATGTCATATTACCTACCCACTAAATGTTCTCTAGGCCAGGGGTCAGCAGACTTTTTTCAAAGCACCAGGTAGTAAATATTTTAGGATTTATGGTTGATTGTGGTCTCTGTTAAGGTGCCATTGCAGTGTGAAAGCAGCTAAAAAGTACGTAATGAGTGAGTAGCTGTGTTCCAATGCAGTTTTATTTATGGAGACTGAAATTAGGATTTCATGTAATTTTCACATGTCTCAGAATATTAATCATTAAAAATTTTTTTTAAGTCATGAAAAATTATAAAATCCATTCTTAGATCATGACTATCTAAGAACAGGCAATGGGCTAAATGTTGGGCCACGGGCTCTGGTTTGCTGATCTCTGTTTTAGGCAAATAAATGACTGTCAGTTGTGATACAGAAAGCTTATTAGCATTGCTGAAATAGATGTTCTCTAGGACAATGCTGTTGGTGACACTGTCTTGTTTTATAGGTGGCACTGATGATAAAAATCTGTTCAAGAATTTAGATGTGACATCTGCAGCAGGTTCAGATCTCTCAGCTATAAGACAAACTGGATACTTCATAAAGATTTTCATCTATTATGCACAGAGAGCCAAAATCCGTTACTGAAATTGTCTGGGTGAACTGCCTGCTGGGTCCAGTGATGCACTAGTAGACAAAGAAGTTGAAAAAGAAGGCTGGCCTGTTTGGATTACTGGCAGAATGTGACACCAATACGGCATCAAGCCTTGCTGTGATTCCAAGGACTTCATGACTGAATATTTTTTTTTTTTTTTTGAGAGGGGGTGTTTGAAGTAAATTTGATCTTTACTTTGGGAATATGTAATATATTATCATTCCATAATGATATATGGTAATCGCTTTGGTAATCAAACCTTTAAGATCCTATTTATGGAAATTAATATAGTTATCACCTTTTAGTATTGGGTTTTCTTACACTAAGGGAAATAATGTAAAGAGAAGTATCTCTTAGCTTAACATCTTTTTTAGCTTAACCTGAAAAACATCTTAAGCATCTCTTTTAGCTTAAACTAAAAAGGTCAAAATAAGGACTGTGATTTCATGTGGAAGTTCTCGTTTGGGGAATTTTTGAAATTTTGCTCTCCCTTAGAGTGTGTAAATAAAGGCTTCTATTTGCTACTGTAACCAGAATTTTCTAGGAAAATATCCTTTTGTGTAGGCTGTTGAACTCAATAGTAAGTAGAAAATCATGCTGTACAGTGTTAATGTGCATGGAACATAATATTATAAATTAATACTAACAGCTACTAATAATAAATTAATGTCTTCAGACCTGTTAACTAAATTCACTTAAAATGATTTAATGAGCATGTGTGAACTGGAAATAAACCTATGTATTTTGTAGAACTATTGAATCACAAGAAAACTGGAGCATCAAAGTGCTCTCTGAACCAAAATCAATATATTATTTGGTTAGAATCCCTGCTTTTCGTATACATTTGTTTATATCAGTTATCGAAACATAGCTCACTATTCTTGGGCTTCCCTGGTGGGTCAGCTGGTAAAGAATCTGCCTGCAATGCGGGAGACCTGGGTTCAATCCCTGGGTTGAGAAGATCTTCTGGAGAAGGGAAAGGCTACCCTCTCTAGTATTCTGGCCTGGAGAATTCCATGGGGTCGCAATGAGTCGGACACGACTGAGTGACTTTCACTTCATAGAGGATTTGAAAGCAGTGCTGAGAAATGAAGTGGGTGGATTCTCTTAAAGTCAAATCCCATTTTTTTCCTCAGTGAATCTTCAACAATTTTTTTTTCATCTAGCATTCAACAAAAGTCCTGGCAGCCCAGGATATAAAACATAGATTACATTTTATATCATTCATCTACTGAAAGATTTTCTCATGACTTACCTGGAAACCTTTGTTAAGGTCTGTACTGTTCGGTTTGTCAGTGTGACACGCCACCTCTGCGTGTTGGTCAGAGTGCATCGCAGCTAACATAGCCATCCTGCTAGGAAAAAACAACCTGTGGATTGCTGAATAGTGGAAGTTACCGACATCTAATTTACAAGTCAGGTTAGTTATCAGTCATGAGATAGGTTTATGTGGAGTTGATTTCATTTCATGGTTTTTAAGCTATTTTTTCACTGAAGTAATGCTTATAACTCAGAGACAGGTGTGTTGTAGCATTTGAAAGCCTTAAACTTTTGAATCTGTAATGAAAGGAATGTTCTTACAGATATTCAAATCCTAAAACTCAGGGGTTTTGAAGTAAGATGCTTTGTCATTCATTTATTGTGCCATAATTGAACTCCTCTGCAGATTTTATTTTGGATCATTGTGATTAATATTTGGAAAACTTTCCCGTTTTCAAATATAAGGCAGTTTAGGAAAGACTGTGATTGTGTGTGTGTGTTTAAATAGAGCAGCAAAACACTTTATAAATAAGTTATATTTAATAAGAAATATGTGAATTTAACATTGGTAGACCAAATTGGGAATTCTACTGTTGTCTTCTGGAAACCTTCCACAATGAGCAGTACACAATAAATAGATCCCTTTGTAGACTGCAGTTACTATTTTTTCCTAAAGTAAACTTTTTTCAAAACATACAGAAGAATTCATATCTATAGCTTGATGTGTGGGTGTTCAGTCGCTAATTTGTGTGTGTGTGCGCCCAGTCGTGTCTGACTCTTTGCAGCCCCATGGACTATAGCCCACGAGGCTCCTCTGTCCATATTTTTCAGGCAACAGTACTGGAGTGGGTTGCTGTGTCCTCCAGGGGATTTACCCAACACAGGGATCGAACACATAGCTTGATGTGTGTGTGTATGTTCAGTTGCTAAGTCATGTCTATCTCTTTGTGACCCCATGGACTGTAACCTGCCACTCTCCTCTGTCCATGGAATTTTCCAGGCAGGAATACTGGAGTGAGTTACCATTTCCTCCTCCAGGTGATCTTCCTGAACCAGGGATCGAACCCACAACCCTTATATCTCATGCATTGGCAGGCAGATTCTTTACTGCTGAGCCAGCTGGGAAGCCATATAGTTCGATAGGTTACAGTTACTCTTATTTCACCTATACTTATTGAAATAGAGAGGACACCTCATAGAAGTGAGTATTAAAAAAAAATAGTTCATTGCAGAAAGGAAGTGCTGTTTACTGGGCTTTGAGGACAATTGCAGACAAGAATCTGTGTTAATTTTTAGATGGTTCTTGGGCCAATAAGCCACAGTTAAAACCAGACATGGAACAACAGACTGGTTCCAAATCGGGAAAGGAGTATGTCAAGGCTGTATATTGTCATCCTGCTTATTTAACTTATATGCAGAGTACATCATGAGAAATGCTGGGCTGGATGATGCACAAGCTGGACTCAAGATTGCCGGGAGAAATATCAGTAACCTCAGATATGCAGATGACACCACCCTTATGGCAGAAAGCCAAAGAAGAGCTAAAGAACCTCTTGATGAAAGTGAAAGAGGAGAGTGAAAAAGTTGGCTTAAAACTCGACATTCAGAAAACTAAGATCATAGCATCTGGTCCCGTCACTTCATGGCAAATAAATGGGGAAACAGTGAGAGACTATTTTTTTGGTCTCCAAAATCACTGCAGATGTTGATTGCAGCCATGAAATTAAAAGACGCTTATTCCTTGGAAGAAAAGTTATGACCAACCTAGACAACATGTTAAAAAGCAGAGACATTACTTTGCCAACAAAGGTCCATCGAGTCAAAGCTATGGTTTTTCCAGTGGTCATGTATGGATGTGAGGGTCGGACTCTAAAGAAAACTGAGCTCTGAAGAACTGATGCTTTTGAACTGTGGTGTTGGAGAAGACTCTTGAGAGTCCCTCGGACTGCAAGGAGATCCAACCAGTCCATTCTAAAGGAAATGAATCCTGAATATTCATTGGAAGGACTGATGCTGAAGCTGAAATTCCAATACTTTGGCCACCTGATGCGAAGAACCAACTCATTGGAAAAGACCCTGATGCTGAGAAAGATTGAAGGCGGGAGGAAAAGGGGCCGAAAGAGGATGAGATGGTTGGATGGCATCACCTACTCGATGGACATGAGTTTGAGTAAACTCCGGGAGTTGGTGATGGACAAGGAAGACTGGCGTGCTGCAGTCCATGGGGTCGAAAATAGTCGGATATGACTGAGCGACTGAACTGAACTGAAGCATCCTTATATTTTAAAGAGTAATGTGGGGCTTAGTAAAAGAATAAGATTGTGGCATCCACTCCTCATAACATAAGTAAAATTAGAAAAGGGGTTTTAAAAGATGTCATTCAAGGGCTTCCTTTGTAGTCTAGTGGTTAAGAATCTGCCTTGCAATGTAGAGGACACTGGTTCGATCCCTGGTCTGGGAACATCCCGCATGACACAGAGCAGCTAAACTCATGGGCCACAGCTACTGAAGCTCCCACACTTCAGCGCCCGTGTTGTGTAACAAGTCACTACAGTGAAAAGCCTGCACCCTGCAAAGCCTGCAACTAGCTAGTGTCCCCTGCCCCTGCTCGCACAACTAGAAAAAGCCCGTGCCCAAGCACAGAGGCCCAGCATAACCCCCCCCAGAGTGTCATTCAAGGGAAGAATTGTTAGTTTAGTGGAGAGTTGATTGACATTTCCCTGTTTCTTTTCCAAAGGACCTTTTATTTCCAGCCCAGGATTTGGGTATATCTTCCAGAAAGGTAGATTGGTATTTAATTTCTTGTCTAGGTATTTAATCAGCTTCAGAATCTTATTTTTTGATACTGCAGTAGCACCTTCTGTAGACTTCTTGAGAGATCATGGCATATGTTTCCTAGAGTTTGGGGCCCTTCCTTAACTGACTCATTTCTGGAGGAGAGGAGAACAAGTTGAGTTAGTTGGCATGTTGAGTGAGAGGGCAGTAGTGGGAAGAGCTGATGTTTGCATCTGGTGTGGTGAGCAGACTTAAGTTTTTTTGTGGACCAAGTGGGTGCCATGGGAAGTAACCAGGCTTGAGGTAATCTTGATGGTTCCTGGGAAGGCGGACTGCTTGCCCTATAAGGGGATTTTGGGTAGGATAGTAAGAGGCCAGCCTTAAAGTGCATCCCCCATACCAGGGAACTATTCAGGGTGGGAGGCTTGATGTAATTTAAGGCCCCCCTGCCGTGAAGACCTGAAATGTGCTGTCCAAACTGGGCTTTGAGAATGAGAGGAGATAGCTGTCAGAATTACATAAGGATAGCAGATGATCTTAGTTCATGGCTATCAAGTAAGGCCCTGTTAAAGTAGGCACGTGGGACACTTGTCCCTCTCCTATCCTGATCTGGCAGAACCAGGAAATGAAAAAGGAAGTGGAGAAAAGTGAAAGAACCGGTAAGGATTTTGAAAGAAACTGGTTATGTTCTTCTTCTTGCCTAGGTTGGCTGAGGTTAGTATATGGATACTCTGAATACAATATGAAGTTGAAGGTATAAATTGGACTAGATTATACTTTGCAATATTTGAAAATGACTGAGAAGCAGTCGTTTTATCTGGAATGTTACAGCGACACGGGGAAGTGAGACCCAAAAGTGCATATTTGAAGTGATGAAATTAGAGCATATATCCCACTGAGTTCAGTGTATTGTGATCGTTTTCTTACTTTGATAGGATTTAATTTAGTTGAACAAACCTTTAAGTAAGGTACCTACAATTTCATATGTAGGGTACTCAGTTAAGCATTTTAGGTAGATTTTCTGTCCTCAGGGGCTTTCTATTTTAGTGTAGAGGTAAACTTAATCCATGGCAGAGCGACATGGGTACTCTGGACCTATAAGTGGCAATGCTTTGGGAATGTGGAACTGAAAACCACTGGGGTTCAGGGCAGGCTTTGGAGGAGGCTGAGTTTGGGCTGGGCCTTGAAGGAAGAGGATGGTAACAGCTGGGAAGAGGGACATAGTAGCATGAGGAAATAGTCAAAGGCATGGGGTTGGAAATGAGTAGATGACTGGGAGAGAAGAATGCTCATCCACACTGAAAATGTTACTATTTTAAGAAATGGTTTCAATCACTAGTTTGCCCATGTTAACAATTGAGGCTTGGTTGAGGTTTGGTTCTTTTACATTCCATTTTGTATTTCGTTAACATTATACAGAGTATCTACTGTTATAAGATACAGTGTAGAAATGTCATTCACTTTAGAACCTAGGTGGTTATAAGCATCAAAACCAAACTTCAAAATCTAATCACAAAGTCTATTACTTTCCTTGATTTAAAACAGTAAAATGTAGAGAAGATGATGATTTTTACGTATGATCTTAAGCATTTGGCAGTGCAGTTAGTTTCATAACAAGTGATTGTTTTTTAAAGCCTTCCCAGAATAAGAATGAGTATCTTGATGCTAGTGTCACTTTTAAATAGCTATAGCTCCAGGAATGTGTCTGTTCACGTTGTTATCTTAAATACACACCTTATCTATCCATATTGCTGTACTTCAGATGTGAAAGTAAAAATAAAGGTGTGAA